CACACAATTATATATGTTGTAGCTAGAATGCCTCTTGTGAGTTCCATTTAAGCAAGGTTTGCGGACTCGTGCGTCTCTCCAAGATGCTCGCAAGTAGCATCCTTTGGCAGACTGTGAGAAGTAGGCCTGCAAAAACCCCTTGCAAGTATTGGGATTTTGGACTGGCGTTCGAACGATAACATGATCCATCGATGCGCCGTGGTCCACCATCGTGTTATCGGACGCTGTGGAAGAAAAATTTATAAATTGTACAGAACCGCGCCGGTTTCTGCGCATGCTTGAGTCCCGTGAACTCACTTTTGGTGTGCCCGATAGACCGAACAGAGCCGTCAGAGGAGGCGAATGAGTTTCTTCAGCGAGCAGCGTCCGCCCTTGTACTCTTTCAGCATTTTCCGCATTGCCTTTTTTGCGTGCCTCCGACTCCAATGCCATCGAACGGTGGGCCTTCAGAAAAGAGTTGCCACCTTCGGCAACATCGTCGGCCTCCTCCGGCGGGTTTTCCACGAAACCCCCGTTATTCACTTCGCCGACGGAGGCGCAGGGAAAGGATCCGCATGCAATTTCCTGCATGGTGTGGCGCTCACTGTCCACAGAGCTGCCCACGGGGGTGAAATCCCCTGCGTATCGCCTGCCAACCCTCTCACTATCCAATTCTTCTTCGCAATCCATCCTTGAGCATGCACACCCACTCACTCACTCGCAAGCTTTTTTAAGGGACAAAAGGAACAATACAACGCTATTTTGCTTAAATGATACAAATAAAATGTAATGGCAACTGTTTTCCTCCCTCCCTGTGCGGAGATTTCAAAGGAGAAACCCAGCAAGACTGCCTACCACAAAACAGGAAAGCTAGCAAAAAGGATAGGCAAAGAGAAAAAGCGTAAGAGCAAGAGGAAGAGGAAGAGAAAGAGATGCCAGGCAGTTTAACATATTCCTCTATAGGCAAAAAATAATCTTCTGGGCCACTGGCCAAACCGTGAGGTTATCAATCACAGAAACCACACGAGATAGGAATAGGAAAGGGATGATAGGAATAAGAGTGCGTTCACCACATCCTCAAACTTTACACCAAGTAAATGTATATATATACATCATCCTATAGCCACAATCGTGACATACTGCATTCTACTCGGATTGGATGTATATGTATTTATTACTTACGAAGTGGCAGACTTTGGGGTCCTCCAGCCACAAGACTCCGCCGCTGCCCTTCGCAAGTTCCACCCTTCGCCACGTCCTGAAGTGCAAAAACACGACCGTGTGATATGCCGTCTGCGGGGTTGCCTTTCGGCAGACCGCACGTAGGCAACGGATGCCTGTACTCCGCGAGAGTCCAAAAACTCATATATCCGTTGCGGCTCCCACGTCATGGCGTGTGATTGTGAGCCGCCCTTATTCGCCGCTCCTTGCGGCGAAGTGTTGTCCACCCAAATGTCCATGGTGGGTGGCGAGACGGCGGGAAAGGCCGATAAGGCTAAGCGTACCGCGCGCCGAGGCCTGCATGATAAGAAAAGCCTTCCTCTTCCATTTCCTCCCGGCAATTTTAACGTCGCCGGAGTCTGGAATATAAACGGCTGCCCATCCATGGAGCGATGCGTCCGTGATGACGGCGGCCGATGTCTTTTCTGTGGTATTGACGTTTCGCTTGCAACTATGTTCTCGACCATGTGTCGCAATCTCTCGCCCAAACCAACCGCTGCCGGCGGAACTTTAGCCGGGGATGTCTCCTGCACAATTCCCCGGTTGAGTGCGGATAATCGTCGTCGCACCGCCTCGAAAAAGTAGCAGTCGCATAAACGCGTGCCAAAAATGGCAGCCGCGTACAAAAAGCGTGACGCCATAACCTCCATTTCCGCGATGGTTCAAGAATTCCGCGCCGACATGGCGCATACGGGCCGGACAAACGTGTCGCTCAGGGATACCGCCTGATATGTATGATCAAACAGCACTCCCAGGAAGGTGTACTGCGTGGTGCCGACTCGCGATCTTCCCCTATCGTGGCGTGAAGGCCGTCCGCATTACGAAGCACTTGGGCCTCCCACAATGTCACGTCGCTTCTCGACCCTGCAATGCGGATATTATCGATCCATACGTCGACACGCACCCGTGGAGGTGCGGCCCAGAGGCGGTGAGCCACCGTCGTCACCCCCGCAATTGCTGAAATGATAATCTGGAGAATTTCTGGGCTGGCCTTGCATCCCATGGGGAGCCGTGTGAGCTCCACCAGCGTGCCGTCTCCACGCGGCATCAAAGGAGATGCCGAGTCTCCCGCGGTAAAGAGACTTGAAAAAAGGACGCCTTTAAATCCAGGCAGGAAGCGGCCTCAGTCATCACAGGCGGCAAATAATGGGAACTGTAGAAAAGAGGAACATCAGCCTCATAAGGGTCGTCTATTTTCATGTCGCGTGGCCACGCGATCCATCGTCGTAAGCCGGCGGTTTTCTCCACCACAGAAAAGAGCATTATCCATCCGCCTGTTGTTGCAGACGAAGCGTCCACTATTATTCCCACTTCCCTCAATAATCGCGCCTCAGCGACAAGAATCCTCCGTGAGCCTTCGCGCGCTTTACCAGAGGAAAGGGGAACGCCCGACGAGTCCCCAAAATTACATGAGCCTCTCCAAGGTAGCCGAGTTCAACCGGCCCTTGATCCACTCTGGATTCAATGCGGGCACGTTGACCTGCTGTAGCGGGATGGTTCGTTCATCTTGTGGAGCGAGCAGACGCGTCATTGTCGCGCGTCGTGCAATTCAAGCAGCAGGATGATAAAATCATGGAAAAACGCTCCTCCGCTCCCAACCAGGGTTCCTGACCTTCCGAAGTTCCTCCCTTCACATCAATACAACCAGTGACGACACCCGGGTCAGCATTGTGGTGTACCTCCCCAAATATCGAGCAGTATTCTGGGGAATGTCGAACGGGTCGACTTGCACCGCCAACTGCGAGATCACGTGTGGGCCCAAAATTGCATGTCTACACGATTTGAGCAGCGTGCCGCAGCGCACCGCGTTTTATGGAATGCGCCGTGGCATCCCAAGGAGCCAAAGCCCATTCGACGTGGGCAGTCGTAAGGTTCGTAAGCTTTTCGTTGCGTCGAATTGTCCTGCATAACTGTATGATGTCAAACTCATCCTACTCTCGTATCCTGACAAACCGCGAGGCGCGGTGGGGATCCGCCCTCGCCGTCTTCGGCGCCACGGAACAATCCAAAATTACGGTCCCGTCACGCTCCAGTGTGAAATTGTTGGGGGTTAAGGCCGCAATATCGGACCAACGACTCGCCGTTATCCACGCAAGTCGAAAAACAACGCGTTCCCTCCAATCGGTCCGGCCGCAGATATACCGATTCATCTCGTCCTCTGTCAAGGGGTGCGTCTGCCTCGTCTCGGTTCGCGCCGCAATTTCCTTTAGCCCCAGAACCATCATGTCCAGCGGGGTTCGATTCATTTCCAACATGGACCGCAGCATCCTGGCGTGCTGCCGTCGGGTCGATGGCGCCACGAATATTGCCGCCAAAAGACCGCGCAGCTCTCCGCGTTGATCGGCCGTTCGTGCGTCCAGCAAAAGGTTGTAAATTGCCCCGCCAGGGAAATTCTCTGCTCCCACGTTGACGGCACACACACTTACCGAGCCGCCTCGTTCGCTCTCCTCATGTAGCTGGCCCAAAGCGGGGATGTCGGAGGTTCGTCGTACCACAGTCGAGCATCGTTGGCGGATAAGCTCCATTGCCCTTCTCGTCGATTGATTCGGGCGATTAGAAAGATCAGACGAAGTGTCAGCGGCACGGTGCGATGCCTTGTGTGCGGAAAGGTGGTGGTGGAATGGATGGGGCTGCTTTCCTCCGCCCTCGTAAGCAGCCAGCAGCCC